TTTGGACAGGAGCTGCCCATTTGGTCTCACGTGTTTGATTGAACTAAGAAGCACGTTCCTCACTTGTATTATTTTTTGTTTTATTGGCCTGTCTAATCCTTTTCTGAAAAGTGGGCTTCAATAATGGTTTCAGTTCTGGGTTAGCAGAGTATCCGGGGGCATAGTTTCAGGGGTTCCTCCAGTCCCTGTCAGACCAGTAAGTCTGGTCTTTTTATGTGAATTTGAATTCTCTTCTACATTCTTCTCCTGCTCTGTCCAGGACTGTATGCTGCAATCCCCGTCAGGGCCAGGTAGCCAAACACCATCTAGTTCTTCTAGTCTCAGGCCGGTGGAGTCTCTGATTCATGTGGTCCTTTAGTCCTTTGCACTTGTATTTTCCCTGTGTCCCTAGTCCTTTCATTCTCCTTTGGTCCGGGTAGGATGGGACTAATAGATGGATCTTACATGGCTGCTCGCAGGCTTTTAAGACCCAGACGCTACTCACTAAAGTGAGATGTAAAACATTTTCTTTATAAACTTTATTATGCCAATTGACCTAGATGTCCCCTGAAGCTATGGTACTCCCCCCTCAGCCCCAGGTACTAGGTCCTTCAAAGTGTTTGGATGTGTCTAGGCAACTTCTGTCCTTTTGCTTTGGTCCAGTTGTGATGACTTCCCCTATATTGTGTGTTGTCCTTCCCTTCACTAAAGTTGACACTTGTCTACTGTCTAGTTAGTGATTTCCCCTTCCCCTAAGGACCTTTCTGGAGAAATAGCAGCAGAACCAGGAGACCAGTGTGAGACAGCACTGGAGCTGACCCACAGAGAGAGAGAGCTGAGTGCCTTTGCACAGGAGGCTTCTTGGTGGAGTGGGGTACCTTCGGGCACTTATCGGTGGAGCTAGGCTTACTGACCCATGGAGCAAGAGAGCTGAGTGCCTTCTGACTGAAGTTTACTGGTGGAACACTTGCCCCAGCAGGGCAGACACAGGCGACAAGGCCCGAGGGGCCAAGAGGCCAAGGAACCAGGAATCAGAGGCTGAAGAGACAAGGAACACAGGAAGCAGAGCTGCCTCCATCTCAAAAGATAGGGCCATAACCTCTGGGGTCTCAGAGGGTGGAGCCATGGCCTGCTGGGATTTCAAATTATGGGGCTGCCATTCATAGTGCCAGCGAGATGGGGCCGGATCCACTGCCCAAAGCTGAGGGGGTATGACTGCGACACCCAAGGGGCAGAAGAATGGGGCTTGCCAGGACCAAGGGGGTAGAGTTGTCACTCAGATGGACTAGGAGAATGGGGTTGCCCAAAGCTGAGGGAGCAGAGTTGCCATTCCAGTGGGCCTGTAAGGTGGAGCTGAAGCCCAGGGCTGAAGGGACCTTCACTCAGAATCTGGAGAGTGTGGCCAATACCTAGGGCCTGGAGGGCAGGGCCATTGTGTAAACAAAGGATTGTTTTCAAGCTTTGAGGGCTAGTGTAACTTGTTCTGCTGACTTGTTTGGTGCCTGTTATTGCTTCTTTCCCTCCAGTTTCTCCCATTTGTAATGGAAATGTCTATCTTGTGCCGGTTCTGCCATTGTACTTTTGGAAGCAGATAACTTGGATTCTCAATTTCACAGATGAAGAGGAATTTTTGGATTTTGGATTTGGAGTTGAATTAAGACTTTTGCTATGATATGATGGGGTGAATATGCTTTACATGTGGCGAGGGCATGAATTTTGGGGGGCCATGGGGTGTAATGTCATGGATTGAATTGTGCCCCCCCAAAATATGTGTCAACTTGGCTAGGCCATGATTTCCAGTATTGTGTGATTGTTCACCATTTTGTCATCTGATACAGTTTTGCTATGTGTTGTAAATCCTACCTCTATGATGTTAATGAGGCAGGATTAGAGGCAGTTCGTTAATGAGGCAGGACTCAATCTAAAAGATTAGGTTGTGTATTGAGTCAATCTCTTTTGAGATATAAAACAAGTGAGCAGAGAGACATGGGGACCTCATACCACCAAGAAAGTAGTGCCAGGAAAATGGTGCGTCCTATGGACCTGGGGTCCCTGCACTGAGAAACTCCTCGACCGGGAAAGATTGATGACAAGAACCTTCCTCCAGAGCTGACAGAGGGAGGAAGCCTTCCCCTGGAGTTCACACCCTGAATTCAGATTTCTTGCCTACTATACTGTGAGAGAATAAACTTCTGTTTGTTGAAGCCATCCACTTGTGGTATTTCTGGTATAGCAGCATTAGATAACTAAGACAGTAAGTTTGATTATATGTCTTGATGACTTTCTTTTGAGGTCTACCCTGTGGGATTTGTTGAACTTCTTGGATAGATATCTTCTCATTTTTCATGATATTAAGGAAGTTTTCTGCCAGCAAATACTAAACAATTCTCTCTGTATTTTCTGTTATCCCCCCCGTTCTGGTACTCTGATCACTCGTAGGTTTTTCCTCTTGATAGTAACCCACATAATTCTTGAGCTTTCTTCATTTTTTTTTCTTTTTTTTTTCTGATTTTTCCTCAAACAAATTGGTTTCAAGGGATTTATCTTCAATCTCACTAATTCTTATTTCCATTGTCTCAATTTTGCTCCTGTGAGTTATCTAATTCTGAAATATTATTGTTAATTTTTTGGATTTCTAGTTGCTGTCTCTGTATGATTTCTAGCAGCCTGTTTATTCTTTTGTTTTGTTCTTGTATTTTTTCCTGAATTCTTCTATTGCTTTGTCTGTATGTTCCTTGGCTTGGTCAGAGTTTTGCCTGATCTCCTTTCTGATCTCTTGGAGAGCTCTTCATATTAGTCTTTTGAATTCTTTCTCAGTTCCATTGCATTATCTTCTTCCAGAAGGTTTTCTGGTTCTTTATTTTGATCACTTGCTGGAGTCATCTTGTCCTGCTTCTTTATGTGATTTGATATTGACTGTTACCTCCAAGGCATCAATAAGTTATTATATTTATTTATTGTATTTTTGTTTACAATGTCCTGTATTTTTTTTTGTTTTGTTTTGACATGTCCAAGTAGGCTGGGCATGTGAGCTGCTTTGGTTGTTGGTGTTATTAAAGCTCTCACATCCTGTCTCTAGGTGGTCAGAGCAGCTACTAGGTGTGTGAGCCCAGCAGCCTATTCACTGTTCTTTCAGGGGTATGGTTATTCAGGGCACAGGTGTCTGGGTCATCAGTCACCGAGTGTGTGGTGCAGACTCTCCGTTACAGTACTAGGCGGGCAGGGCTGCGTAGGGGTTTTCAGAGCAGGCATAGGTCTCTGGTTGCAGTGGGGGGTGATGTGTGGGGCAAGGCAGTGGGCTGATGGCTACCTCTGGGTGCCTGGACGGAGGGCATGTCCCTGTCCCCTAGAGAACATATTGAGGGGGTAGTGCAGCTGGTCCTTGGGCACCTGGTACCATTGGCTGAAGGGGCTGCGAGGCATCACTAATCCTCAGACCCCTGTCGTGGGTGGCTTGATGGAATGGGTGGTACCACTGGCTCTCAGGCCACCTATGTGGGTGGGTGAGGTTCCTTCTTAAGGGGCAGGGAGTTGTTGAATGTCACATATCTGCAGCTCCCCCTTGACTGCTGCAGGTGAAAATGGGCTTCAGGTGTATGCCCTGCTGTTTTATGCTAATGAGGGCGTGTGGTGTTGAATTGGTCCACAAGGGCCGGGGCAGGGGTGAGGGTTGCTGCAAGTCCTGGACCCCATATGCCAGTGGCTGAGCAAAGGGGCAGGGCCTCCGAACTGGCCCTGGGTTCCTGGCTTAAGGGGCGTGGATTGTTGAATGCCAGGTGACTGATTTCAGAGTGGGGTAGGGGGTGAGTGAGGGGAAGGAAGTGTTTCTCCGCTGCGAAGCTCTGGGGTTATTTTGCCAGCGCTCAGTTAGGTTGAGAGCTTACACTTAACCTTCGCATATCTGGTGTTGCTCCTGTTTGGTTCTGGAGGTGCACGCAGATTTGCTGCTGCTTGGCTGCACCAGGTATGGTGGGTCTTAGCTTGAGATTTTGCTGCTTGCTTCAGCCCGTGTATGCTGTGCAGATTCAGCTAGCGAATCCACACTCTGTGGTTCCCTGTTTCCGCTGCTTTTGAATTGCCTCTCCTTCCACTTGCCACTTAGTCCAATTCTTCAGCTTTGTCTTTGATGATTAGGGTTCCTAGTTTGTCATATATATTTGACTCACTTGTTTTTTTGGGTCTTTGTTGTAAGAGGGATGACAGGAAGCTTCTGACTATTCTGCCATCTTGGCCCTGCCTCGCTGTGATTCTTTATGACTTCTCTTTCTACATTCTTTTTGCTTCAATATCCTCATACTAACATACTTAAGTCTTGAGTTCTTTTCCCAGTTCTGATTTCTAAGGGTGAATCTGATCATGGCAGGCAATTTTGTTTGTCTCTGAACCACCCAAGATTGGCTCTTGAACACTGATTCAGTTAGTAGTGACAAAGGTAGTTCTTAGAGTCCAAAACATGACTTCTTGGGTGTTCCTTTAGAAGGGGTACTATAGTGGGACGTTTTACCTTAAAAAAATACTAAAGCAGGTCCTGACTGACCTATCTTGAGTTTGCAAATTAAAAATTTGTTCTGAATTAAAATACCAAGTTTTTAATGCAGCCAAAAACATTAAAAATTCTAGCCTCCTAATTTGTATACCAGTTGATCAATGAATGCTTAGGTACTATAATTATTATAGCTTATTACTGCTAATTTTTATCTAATAAAAAAGTGACCATATATCTATATCTATATCTATATGTATGTATATATATCTTAGTCATGCTTTGTTTACCTTCATAACAGAGACTGTTATTAGTACAGCAGTAAGAGTCTTTGGATAGATATAGAAATGGAACTATCTAAATGTTTTCTTAAAGTATTAATCTATTTAAAATACTGTTTGAAATGGTTAAAATGATAAATCACATTTTAAGTTTTAATTTTTTGTAAGAAATTTATACAAGCATACCTTGTTTTCTTGGCTTCACTTCATTGCTCTTTGCAGATACTGCGTTTTTTTATAAATTGAAAGTTGTGGCAACCCCGGGTCAAGCAAGTTTATTGGTACCATTTTTCCTACAGAATGTGCTCACTTAATGTCTCTATGTCACATTTTGGTAATTCTCACAATATTTCACTTTTTCATTATTATTATATCAGTTATGGTGGCCTGTGATCAGTGATGTTTGATGTTACTAACTGTAATTGTTTTGGGGCGCCACATACGACACCCATATAAGATGGTGAACTTAACTGATAAATGTTGTGTGTGTCCTGACTGCTTCACTGACTAGCCATTCCCCTGTCTCTCTCCCTCTCCTCAGGCCTGCATATTCCCTCAGATATGACAATATTGAAATTAAGTCAGTTAATAGCCCTGCAATGGAGCCCTGGTGACACAGTGGTTAAGAGCACAGCTGCTAATTAAAGGTCAGCAGTTTGAATCCACCAGCCACTCTTTGGAAACCCTATGAGGCAGTTCTACTCTGTCCTCTTGGGTCGCTATGAGTTGCAATTGACTCGAAGGCAACGAGTTTTTGTTTTTTTTTGTTCTTTGTTTTTACAGTGACCTCTTAATGTTCAAGTAAAAGGAAATGTTGCACATCTCTCACTTTAAATCAAAAGTTAGATACGATTAAGCTTAGCTAGGAAGGCATGTTGAAAGCCGAGATAGGCCAAAAGCTAGACCTCTTGCACCAAACAATTAGCCAAGTTGTGAATGCAGAGGAAAAGTTCTTTAAGGAAATTAAAAGTGCTACTCCAGTGAACACACAAATGATAAGAAAGCGAAACAGCCTTATTGCTGATACAGAGAAAGTTTTAGTGGTCTGGATAGAAGATCAAACCAGCCACAACATTCCCTTAAGCCAAAGCTTAATCCAGAACATGGCCCTAACTCTCTTCAGTTCAGTGAAGGCTGAGAGAGATAAGGAAGCTGCAGAAGAAAAGTTTGAAGCTAGCAAAGGTTGGTTCATGAAGTTTAAGGAAAGAAGCTGTCTCCATAACATAAAAGTGCAAGGTGAAGCAGCAAGTGCTGATGTAGAAGCTGCAGTAAGTCATCCCGAAGATCTAGCTAAGATAATTGATGAAGGTGGCTACACTAAACAACAGATTTTCAATGTAGACGAAACAGCTTTCTATTGGAAGAAGATGCCATCTAGGACTTTCATAGCTAGAGAGAAGTCAATGCCTGGCTTCATAGCTTCAAAGGACAGGCTGACTCTCTTGTTAGGGGCTAATGCAGCTGGTGACATTAAGTTGAAGCCAATGCTCATTTACCATTCTGAAAATCCTAGGGCTCAGAAGAATTATGCTAATTCTACTCTGCCTGTGCTCTATAAATGCAACAAGAAAGCTGGATGACAGCACATCTGTTTACAACGTGGTTTTCTGGATATTTTAAGCCCACTGTTGAGACCTACTGCTCAGAAAAAAAGATTCCTTTCAAAATATTACTGCTCACTGACAATGCACCCGATTACCCAAGAGCCCTAATAGAGATACACAAGGAGATAATGTTGTTTTCATGCCTGGTAACACAATATTGTCTGATATAGTGCCGGAAGATAAGCCCCTCAGGTTGGAAGGCACTCAAAAGACAACTGGGGAAGAGCTGCCTCCGAAATGTAGAGTTGACCTTAATGAGGTGGATGGAATCAAGCTTTCCAGACCTTTATTTGCTGATGTGGCATGATTCAGAATGGGAAGAAACAGCTGCAAGCATCTATTAATAATTGAAATGTGGAATTTATGAAGTATGAACCTAGGAAAATTGTAAATCATCAAAAATGAAATCGACCACATAAAAATTGATATCCTAGGCATTAGTGAGCTGAAATGGACTGGTATGGGCCATTTTGAATTGGATGATCCTATGGTTTACTGTGCCAGGAATGACAAATTGAAGAGGAAAGCCATCGGATTCATTGTCAAAAAGTACATTTCAAGATCTGTCCCAAAGTATGACACTGTCAGTGATAGGATAATATCCATACACCTATGGAAGACAAGTTAATACAACTATTATTCAAATTAACTCACCAACCACTAAGGCCAAAGATGAAGAAATTGAAGATTTTTATGAATTTCTGCAGTCTGAAATTAATCAAACATGAAATCAAGAAGTATTGATAATTACTGGTGATTGGAATGCGAAAGTTGGAAACAAAGAAGAATTGATAGTTGGAAAATATGGCCTTGGTGGTAGAAATGATTCTGGACATTATATGATAGAATTTGACAAGACCAATGACTTCTTCATTACAAATACTTTTTTCTACAACATAAACAGCCACTGTACATGGTGGACCTCACCAGATGGAATACACAGGAATCAAATCAACTGTATAGGTGGAAAGAGACAATGGAAAACTTAGTATCATCAGTCAGAACAAGGCCAGGGGCTGACTGTAGAACAGATCATCAATTGCTCATATGCGAGTTCAAGTTGAAGCTGAAGAAAATGAGAACAAGCCCACAAGAGCCAAAGTACAACCTTGAGTACGTATATCCCACCTGAATTTAGAGACCATCTCAAGAATAGATTTGACACATTGAACACTAGTGACCTAAGACCAGAAGAGTTGTGGAATGACATCAAGGACATCATACATGAAGAAAGCAAGAGGTCACTAAAGAGACAGGAAAGAAAGAAAAGACCAAAATGGATGTCAGAAGAGACTCTGAAACTTGCTCTTGAACATCGAGTAGCTAAAGCAAATGGAAGAAATGATGAAGTAAAAGAGCTGAACAGAAGATTTCAAAGGGCAGCTCAAGAAGACAAGGTAAAGTATTATAATGACATGTGCAAAGACCTGGAGATAGAAAACCAAAAGGGAAGAAAACACTCAGCACTTCTGAAGCTGAAAGAACTGAATTAAAAATTCAAGCCTTGGGTTGCAATATTGAAGGATTCTTTGGGGAAAATATTAAACGATGCAGGAAGCATCAAAAGAAGATGGAAGGAATACACAGAGTCACTATACCAAAAAAAGATTGGTTGACATTCAACCATTTCAGGAGGTAGCATCTGATCAGGAACTGATGGTACTGAAGCAGGAGGTCCAAGCTGCACAGAAGGCATTGGTGAAAAACAAGGTTCCAGGAATTGACTGAATACCAATTGAGATGTTTCAGCAAACAGATGCAGCATTGGAAATCCTCACTCGTCTATGTCAAGAAATTTGGAAGACAGCTACCTGGCCAACCAACTGGAAGAGATCTATATTTATGCCTATTCCAAAGAAAGATGATCCAACAAAATGCAGAAATTATCAAACAATATCATTAATATCACACACAAGTAAAATTTTGCTGAAGATCATTCAAAAGTGGCCGCAGCAGTGCATCTACAGGGAACTGCCAGAAATTCAAGCTGGATTTAAAAGAGGATGTAGAACCAGGGATATCATTGCTGATATCAGATGGATGCTGGCTGAAAGCAGAGAATACCAGAAAGATGTTTACCTGTGTTTTATTGACTATGCAAAGGCATTCGACTGTGGATCATAACAAATTATGAATAACATTGGGAAGAATGAGAATGCAGAACACTTAATTGTACTCACAAGGAAACTGTACATAGATCAAGAGGCAGTTGTTCAAACAGAACGAAGGGATACTGCATGGTTTAAAGTCAGGAAAGATGTGTGTCAGGGTTGTATCCTTTCACCATACCTATTCAATCTGTATGCTGAGCAAATAGTCTGAGAAGCTGGACTACGTGAAGAAGAATGAGGCATCAGGACTGGAGGAAGACTCAAACAACCTGCGATAAGCAGATGACACAACCTTGCTTGCTGAAAGTGGAGAAGACATGAAGCGCTTACCGATGAAAATCAAAGACTGCAGCCTTCAGTATGGATTACATCTCAACATAAAAAAAACAAAAATCCTCACAACTGAACCAGTAAGCAACATCATGATAAAAGGAGAAAAGATTGAGGTTGTCAAGGATTTCATTTTACCTGGATCCACAATCAACACACATGGAAGCAGTAGTCAAGAAATGAAAAGACTGCATTGCGTTGGGCAAATCTGCTGCAAAAGACCTTTTTAAAGTGTTAAAAAGCAAAGATGTCACTTTGAAGACTAAGGTGCACCTGACCGAAGCCATCATGTTTTCAGTTGCCTCATGTGCATGCGAAAGCTGGGCAATGAATAAGGAAGACCGAAGAAGAATTGATGCCTTTGAATTATGGTATTGGCAAAGAATAATGAATATACAGTGGACTGCCAAAAGAACAAACAAATCTGTCTTGGAAGAAGTACAGCACAGCCAGAATGCTCCTTAGAAGCAAGGATGGCGAGACTATGTCTCACATACTTTGGACATGTTATCAGGAGGGATCAGTCCCTGGAAAGGACATCATGCTTGGTAAAGTAGAGGGTCAGCAAAAAAGAGGAAGACCCTCAACAAGATGGTTGACACAGTGGTTGCAACAATGGACTCAAGTATAACAACGATTGTGAAGATGGCGCAGTACCTGGCAATGTTTCGTTTTGTTGTACATAGGGTGGTTACGAATGGGAACCGACTCGAGGGCACCTAACAACAACAACACCACAACATCCATTCTGCAGCCCCTGGATCAAGAAGTGACTTTCAAGTCTTATTTTTCAAGAAATACATTTCGTAAGGCAGTAGCTGCCATAGATAGCGATTTCTCTGATGGATCTGGGCGAAGTAAATCGAAAACCTTCTGAAAAGGATTCACCATTCTAGATGCCATTAAGAACATTCCTGATTTACAGGAGGTCCAAATATAAACATTAACAGGAGTTTGGAAGAAGCTGATTCCAACCTTCATGGATGACTTTCAGTGGAGGAAGTAACTGCAGATGTGGTGAAACAGCAAGAGAACTATAATTAGAAGTAGAGCCTGAAGAGATGACTGAATTGCTGCAATCTCATGATAAAACTCTAACGGATGAGGAGTTGCTTCTTAGGGATGAGCAAAGAAAGTGGTTTCTTTGGATGGAATCTACTCCTGGTGAAGATGCTGTGAACACTGTTGAAATGACAACAAAGGATTTAGAATATTACATAAATTTAGTTGATGCAGCAGTGGCAAGATTTGAGAGGATTGACTCCAATTTTGAAAGAAGTTCTACTGTGGGTAAAATGCTGTCAAGCAGCATTGCATGCTACAGAGAAATCGTTCGTGAGAGGAATAGTCAATCGATGCAGCAAACTTCGTTGTTGCCTTATTTTAAGAAATTGCCACAGCCACTCCAACCTTCAGCAGTCACCACCCTGATTAGTCAGCAGCCATCAACATCAAGGCAAGACCCTCCACCAGCAAACAGATTATGACTTAATAAAGGCTCAGATGATGGTTAGCATTTTTAACCAATAAAGTATTTTTTATTTAAGGTATGTACATTGTTTTTATTTAAGGTATGTACATTGTTTTTTTAGACATAATGCTATTGCACACTTAATAGACTACAGTATAGTGTAAACGTAACTTTTATATGCACTGGGAAACCAAAAAATTCGTGTGACTCACTTTATTGCAATATTCGCTCTATTGCAGTGGTCTGGAATTGAAACTGCAGTATCTCATAGATATGCCTGTATAGGAAGTAATACGTCAAAGTAAGGAGGCCTGGTTGCACAGTGGTTAAGCGCTCAGCTGCCGAGAATTCGGCAGTTCAAACCCACCAGCCACAGTCTGCTTCCATAAAGATTTACAGCCTTGAAAACCCTATGGGGTAGTTCTGCTCTGTCCTACAGGTAGCTATGAATTGGAATCAACTTGGTGGCAGTGGGTTTGGTTTTTTTTTAGATTTAATATGTGAAACTAATCTGATTTAGAAGACTATATATCCCAGAAAATCTTTTAATTTTGGTACCATTAAAGCAACTAGTGGTCTCTGGTAGGATTTCATAAATCTATAATCCGTACCAGATCAGAGAAACTTTAAGTTCTGTTTGATTTAAATCACTATTCCAATATAAGCAAGGTGGAGCAGTGCTTTGAAATCAATTAAAAGTTTCTGCTCCATTGTTGGTATGATTAGTGTATTCTTAAGGATTATTCCACTTTGATGACTCCTTTTTAGAGTAACAATTCAGTTACTTTATTTTTCAATTTTTAGTAATTATTTACGTTTTTTTATTTTATCATGTGTGCATTCTTGTAAACTACCATAAATCCTCTAAGGAAAAACACGGGAAATTATACACAAATGTAGCCTGATATATTTAAAGACTGGAACTTCATCTGGAAAGATGGTTCACTTTTATTATTATTGAGGTATCCAAGCCCAGGAAGAGATGCAGATGGCAAAACAGTTTTCATCATTCTCCAGCCATTTGTATGAATTCAGTCTTTCCACTTCCAAAAGTGAATTTTTACTTTATGTAACAAAACACCCATTGCCATCGAGTCAATTCCGACTCATAGTAAGCCTATAGGACAGAGTAGAACTGCCACATAGGGCTTCCAAGGAGTGGCTGGTGAATTCCAACTGCTGGCTTTTTTTATTTTAATTTTTTTTTTATTGTACTTTAGATGAAGGTTTACAGAACAAATAGTTTCTCATTAAACAGTACACATACTGTTTTATGACAATGGTTAACACCCCACGACGTGTGAACACTCTCTCTTCTTGACCTTGGGTTCCCTATTACCAGCTTTCCTGTCCCCTCCTGACAGTCCTTGTCCCTGGGCTGTTGTGCCCCTTTAGTCTCGTTTTATTTTATGGGCTTGTCTAATCTTTGGCTGAAGGGTGAACCTTGGGAGTGACTTCATTACTGAGCTGAAAGGGTGTCCAGAGGCCATACTCCTGGGGTTTCTCCAGTCTTTGTCAGGCCAGTAAGTCTGGTCTTTTTTTGTGGTGAGTTAGAGTTTTGTTCTACGTTTTTCTCCAGCTCTGGCCAGGACCCTCTATTATGATCCCTGTCAGAGTAGTCAGTGGTGGTAGCTGGGCACCTTCTAGTTGTACTGGACTCAGTCTGGTGGAGGCCGTGGTAGTTGTGGTCCATTAGTCCTTTGGACTGATCTTTCCCTTGTATCTTTAGTTTTCTTCATTCTCCCTTGCTCCCAAAGGAGTGAGACCAGTGGAGTATCTTAGATGGCTGCTCATAGGCTTTTAAGACCCCAGACACTACTCACCAAAGTAGAATGTAGAACATTTTCTTCATAAACTATGTTATGCCAATTGGGCTAGATGTTCCCTGAGACCATGGTCCCCACAGCCCTCAGCCCAGCAATTTGGTCCCTCCGGGAGTTTGGATGTGTGTATGAAGCTTTCATGAGCTTGCCTTGTACAAGATGTGCTGGCTTCCCCAGTATTGTATACTGTCTTACCCTTCACAAAAGTTACCACTTGTCTTTTTATTGTTTTTCCATCCTCACCCTTCCCTTCCCTCCTAACCATCAAATGTTTCTTTTTGTGTGTAAACCTTTTCATGAGTTTTTACAGTAGTGGTGTCATAGAATATTTGTCCTTTTGTGATTGACTTATCTCACTCAGCATAATGCCTTCAGATTCATCCATGTTATGAGATGCTTTGCAGATTCATCGTTGCTCTTTATCGCTGCATAATATTCCATTGTGTGTATGTACCATAGTTTGTTTATCCATTCAGCTGTTGATGGGCATCTAGGTTGTTTCCATCTTTTTGCTGTTGTGAACAATGCTGCAGTGAACGTGGGTGTGTATATGTCTATTCCTGTGACAGCTCTTATTTCTTTAGGATATGTTCCTAGGAGTGGGATTGCTGGATCATATGGTATTTCTATTTCTAGCTTTCTAACGAAGCACCATATCATTTTCCAAAATGGTTATATCATTTTGCATTCCCACCAGCAGTGCATAAGAGTTCCAGTGTCCCTGCAGCCTCTCCAACATTTGTTGTTTCCTGTTTTTTTTGATTTGTGCCAGTAATGCTGGGGTGAGATGGTATCTCGTTGCAGTTTTGATTTGCATTTCTCTAATGGCTAGGGTTTTTGGGCAATTCCTCATGTGTCTGTTGTCCACTTGAATGTTTTCTTTGCTGAAGTGTCTGTTTAATTCCTTTGCCCGTTTTTTAATTGGATTATTTGTCTTTTTGTTGTAGAAGTGTTGGAATTTCTTGTAGATTTTAGAGATTAGACCTTTGGTTTGTAATAGCCAAAATTTTTTTCCCAGTCTGTAGGTTCTCGTTTTAGTCTTTTGGCAAAGTGTTTTGATGAGCCTAAGTGTTTAATTTTTAGAAGATTCCAGTTATCTAGCTTATGTGTGTTGTTGGTTATGGTTTGTATCCTGTTAATGCCATGTATTAGGGCCTCTAGCATTGATCCTATTTTTTCTTCTACGAACTTTATAGTTTTTGGCTTTATCTTTAGGTCTTTGGTCCATTTTGAATTATTTTTTTATATATAGTGTCAAGTATAGATCCTGTTTCATTTTTTTGCCAATGGACCTCGAGTTTTCTAGCACCATTTGTTAAAAAGACAGTCTTTTCCCCATTTGATGGACTTTGGGCCTTTGTCAAAAATCATTTGACCATAGGTGGATGGATTTACATCTGGGTTCTCAATCCTGTTCCATTGGTCAATGTATCTGTTGTTGTACCAGTATCATGCTGTTTTGACTACTGTAGCTGTATAGTAGGTTCTGAGGTCAGGTAGTGCAAATCCTCCTACTTTATTCTTCTTCTTCAGTAGTGCTTTACGTATCTGAGATTTCTTCCCTTTCCATATAAAGTTAATGATTAGTTTTTCCATCTCTTTAAAGAATGTTATTGGTATTTGGATCAAGATTGCATTGTATTTGTAAATTGCTTTGGGTAGAATTGTCATTTTTGCAATGCTGAGTCTACCTATCCATGAGCATGGTATGTTTTTCCATTTATGTAGGTGGATCTCTTTTGGTTTCTTGCAGTAGTGTTTTATAGTTTTCTTTGTATAGGTCTTTTACATCCCTGGTTAGATTTATTCCTAAGTATTTTATTTTTTTAAGGGCTATTATAAATGGTATTGTTTTTCTGATTTCCTTTTCATTGTTCTCTTTATTGGTGTATAGGAATCCAACTGCTTTTGTATGTTTATCTTGCTGCTGAATCTTTCTATTAGTTCCAGTACTTTTCTTGTGAAGTCTTGGGTTTTCTATGTGTAGTATCATATTGCCCTCAAATAGAGACAGTTTAACTTCTTCATTACCAATTTGGATACCCTTTATTTCTTTTTTTTTGCCTTATTGCTCTAGCTAAGACTTCCAGCACAATGTTAAATAGGAGTAGTGATAAAGGGCATCCTTGTCTTGTTCCTCGCACTGCCAGCCTTTTGGTTAGCAGCCGAACTTTTATCCACTATGCCACCAAGGCACCACTTTGTATAAAGTAATATATATTTAACCTTAATTTTTGACCAAGAGAAAATGTATTGTTTTCATTTCAATTGGCAGCCCTATTTATTAGTAATATGTCTTTTTAATTAGAATAATAAGATTGTATACTCCTAAGTTTTCATTTTTAATCTATTTTAAAATCTTTTTTTCTTTTCTCTTTTTGAATAAATCAGAGAACAGAAATGAGTGGAATGTTATCTTAAACAAGCCAGAAAATCTCTCATAGCTTTTATTATTAAATACTGCTCAAATGAAGAAAGTTAAAAAGAGAACCAAAACTCCAACTGATATTTACCCAGTTGAGACATTGGTAAATATGTCGCTTAATCCAAGTCGACCGTCTTCATCAGAGGTAAGACAACCTTTTTATACTAAAATATAAGAAAAACCTGCTTATTATTGTTTTTTTAAAAGTTTTTATAAAGCAGTAATATGAATTATATCCCCATGATTTCAATTTCTTGTATCCCATTGTTTGATCACACTTCCTGTGTCTCCAGCTCACTTCCTCTAGTATCCCAATTATACTGGAAACTTCAGTGCATTGATCCTATTACCTATTTTTACTACTCCTCACTTTGTGACATACTTTGTACCTGCCTTAAATTCCCTAGGTCAATCTTAATTACTTCCTTGCACATACTTTTGACTCTTTGCACCCTCTCACTTCATTGTACTCCTTGGAAAACTACAGCTCTGGTAAATCCAACTCTCCACCTACTTTTCACCTACACCTGAGCAGTTAAATATGGCTGAGAAAAATATACCAGCATAAGGTCTAGTCTCAATTTAAATTCATAACCATGAATTTCAAATGGAACCTGGTGTGCAATTGTGATGAGGATAATAAATCAATCTTCACACACCAACTGTGTCAAGGGAAAGCCTCAGAATCCCACTCTTCTGTTCCCAACTGTGAGGATATAATAAATCTCCACTTTCCACTTCCCTGTTCAGTTCTGATACCAGCCACCCACGTGGCATCTCTCTTCCTGACCTTAGCCACTGGAGCTAGGTCAGATCTCTCAAAAATAAAAGGATGCTGTCCTGGACATCTCTACTTGGATGACCAATAGACATCTCAAACCTAACATGTCTAACACTGAAATATGGATCTTTCCTCCCTCCCCAAAACCTGTACTACCCATGGCCTTTACTATCTCAATTGATGACAGCTCTTGTCTTTCAATTTCTGAGGACAAAAGCCTTAGAGTCATCCTTGTCTCTTCTCTCTCAACTTCCAATCTACTGATTCTAGCTTCAAAATATATACAAAATCTGACCACTTATTGTCACTTCTACTACCAGCACATTGATCTGATCCACCATCATTTCACACTTTATTTATACCAATAGCTTCATAACAGGTTCACCTTTTTTGCTCCCTACAGTTTGTTCTGGCTATTGTTCCTTTAACCCAAGTGATTAAATTTAGCATGATTTTTACATATTACATATGTCCTGATGTGATGCAAATATCAAACTTCATTAGATTAAAATATGAGGCTGTATTTGCTTTAATTTTCCTGTTTTGTAATAATCTATTCTTCTAAATAGAAGGATTCTAACCAAGGTCATAACAAAACATTAGTACAAGAGAAGTACAATATATGTAAGCACAGACAAGTTTACAGAAATACTCTGTGTAAGAACAACCATTTCTTTCTCCATCACTGTTCAGGAGTAGGTTCTTCCTGGAATTCTTGGAAACAAAAATGTTAGAGTTAGCAATTATCATAACTATGGTAGGTAGACAGTATATATAGCATAAAGATTCATAAGATCACCCTATATAACTGAGTAGGTGGGAGAGGGGAAAGAAAACTGTTGATGGCACTTTAGTATTCTTAATGCAGGCCACAGAAAGAACACCGTAGGTCAAAGATGTTGTTGTGGGCTAATCTGGGAGCCACATCTGTGACATCATTTTCAAAGGGTTATCTGCTCCAATTGCCAAGTAGGCAACTTACAAACAAATTTTTGGTTCTTCATTTTGTTTCTGTATTTGTTCAGAGGGATACATATATTCCATGTTTAGTTCAATTATGCTTATTAAACTAAAATTGTAGAGGATCACAACTGATTTTTTTTTTCACTTTAAAAATGTTTTAACTGACATTCTTCTCAATTTATTCAGGTGGTGGAACTTCATGTTTTTTATGTCCCTGAAGGATCGTGGAACTATAAGTTAAATACCATTTCAAAAGAAGTTGTTAACAAATTCATTTCAGCTGGATTTATAAGGCAAGTGTTTTGTGGTCATTTAAAAATGTGCCTGAAAAATCTTTTTTTCTGCAGAGACAAATGCTTTCTGAAAATTTTAAAATTGTAAGTGAGAAATATACTGTGCATGTGATGGATCCACTTCCTAACTTAATGAATACTGTCAATACCCTGGTTGCCAAGTGGTTAGAGCTACCACTGCTAACTGAAAGGTCGGTAGTTCGAATCCAGCAGACGCTCCTTGGAAACCCTGTGGGCAGTTCTACTCTGTCCTATAGGGTCACTATGAGTTGGAATCGACTTGATGGCAGTGGGTTGTTTGGTTTGGTTTTATATAATAGTTAAATAAAACAATGCTATAGAAAGATAGGAAACCCTGGTGGCGTAGTGGTTAAGACTTTGGCTGCTAACCAAAAGGTCGACAGTTCGAATCCACCAGGCATTTCTTGGAAACCCAATGAGGCAGTTCTACTCTGTCCTATAGGTTCTACTCTGTCCTGTAGGGTCACTATGAGTCAGAATTGACTCGTTGGCAATGGGTTTGTTTTTTGTTTTTTTCTGTATAGAAATATGAGGAGGCCTGGTGGTGCAGTAGTTAAGCACTCGACTGCCAACCAAATGGTTGACAGTTCAAACCCACCAGCTGCTCTGAGGGAGAAAGATGTGGTAGTCTGCCTCCATAAATATTTACAGCCTTGGAAACCCTATGGAGAAGTTCTGCCCTGTCCTATAGGGTTGCTATGAGTTACAATCAACTCAATGGCAACGGGTTTGGTTTTTTGGTTATAGAAACAGATGTCACTTAGCCATAATTCTGCTACCCAGAAAATAGTGTATAACTGTGTATTACTATGGAAGTAATTAAGAGAGAAATTATCTGAAATTAGAAACCTATTGAAGAGGAGAAAATAGTGGTTAAGGCAGTGTGTTACCAATAGCTTTTTCACTGTTCAAAAATATAAACAAAGAAAATATGTATTTAAGTATATGTACATTTATATGTATGTATATGTATATTTTCATATTCACACCCAAGAACACACATGACACTGTATGATCTGACCACCTGTTGTTACCTTTCTTAAATGTTTCTCCTCCTAATCTTCTCTATCACTTGCTTCAACCACACTAGCTTTCTTTCTGTTCTGGAACCCATCAGACATGATTCTACCTCAAGGCCCCTGTATTTGCTGTTCCTTTTAGCTAAAATGCTCTTTCTGCCTTTCCCATATGCTCTCTCACCTCCTTCAGACCTTATTCAAATACTTTTTTTTTGTTTGTTTAGGCTTTCTCTAACAGCCCTTTTCTCCTTTCTCTGCTATATTTTTCTTTATAGTACTTAGCACTATCTTATCAATTGTATTTTTTTAATTTTTCTCTCCCACCATTAGATTGTAAGGCCCATGAGGGCAGAGGTTTTAATCTATTTTGTTCATTGACATATTCTTATCACTTGGAACAGTCCTAGTACATAGTAGGTGCTCAATAAATATTTTTGATTGAATAAATAAATTATATAATATTTTCCATGTTGCTGTTGTGAGTTGCCATTGAGTCATCTCCAACTCATGGCAATCTTATGCATAACAGAACAAAATGTTGCCCAGTTCTGCGCCATCTACATGATAGTTGATATGTCTGGGTCCATTGTTGTGGCTGTGGTGTCAGTCCATCCAATGAGGGTTTTCCTCGTTTTTGCTGACCCTCTACCAAACATGATGTCCTTTTCTAGCAACTGGTCTTTCCTGATGTCTTGTCCGAAGTAAGTGAGTCTTAAGTCTCTCCATCTTCTTTTTTAGGAGCATTCTGGTTGTATTTTTTCTAGGACTTGATTTGTTTATTCTTTTGGCTGTCTATGCTATATTCAATATTCTCCGCTAACTCCACAATTTGAACGCATCAGTTCTTCTGCCTTCCTTTTTCATTGTCCAGCTTTCACATGCATAGGAGGCAATTGAAAATACCGTGGTTTGGGTCAGGTGCACCTTCGTTATCAAAGTACCAGCTTTGCTTTTTAAAACTTTAAAGAGATCTTTTGCAGCAGACTTGCCCAATGCAATATGTTGTTTGATTTCTCAACTGCTGCTTCCATGAACATTGCTTGTTGATCCAAGTAGAATGAAATCATTGACAACTTCATTTTTTCCTCAGTTCATCATGATGTTTATCAGTTCAGTTGTAAAGATTTTCATTTTGTTCATGTTCAGGTGTAATCCATACTGAAGGCTGTAGTCTTGGACCTTCATCAGCAAGTGCTTCAAGTCATCTCCGTTTTTGGCAAGGCAGGTTGTGTCATCTGCATATTGTTGATTGTTAATTAGTCTTCCTCCAATCCTGACGCCATGTTCTTCTTCATATAGTCCAACTTCTTGTATTATTTGCTCAGCATATAGATTCAACAAATAAGGTAAAAAGATATAAACCTGCTGCACTTCTTCTCCAATTTGGAACCAGGCAGTAATATCTGTTCAAATGACTGCCTCTTGATCTATGTACAGGTCCCATATGAGCACAATTAAGTGTTCTGGAATTCCCGTTTGCAATATTATCCATAATTTGCTGTGATCCACACTGCTGAATGCCTTCGCATAGTTGGTAAAACCAAGGTAAATATCTTTTGAATCTTCTCTGCTTTTGGCCAAGATCCATCTGACATGATCAGTGATATCCCTCATTCCACATCCTCTTCTGAATCCAGCTTGAACTTCTGACAGTTCCCTGTAGATGTACAGCTACCATCATTTTTTATATTCAGCAAAGTTTTACTAGCATGTGATATTAATGATATTTTCAATAATTTCTACATTACATTTGATCGCCCTTTTTTGGAATGTGCACAGATATGGATCTCTTCCAATCAGTTAACCAGTTAGCTGCCTTCCATGTTTCTTGGCATAGACAAGTAGGCACTTCCAGCATTGCATCTGTTTGTTGAAAGATTCAATTGGTATTCTGTCAACTCCTCGAGCTTTGTTTTTTGCCTGTGCTTCAGTGCAGCTCAGACATCTTCCTTTAGTACCAGCATTTCTTGATCATATGTTACCTCCTGAAATGTTTGAACATCAGCCGATTCTTTTTGATACAGTACAGTGACTCTGTGTATTCTTTCCATCTTCTTTTAATGCTCCCTGAGTTATTCAGTTTTTTCCTCTTAGAATCCTTCAGTAATGCGACACGAGGCTTCAGTTTTCTCAGTTCTTTCAGCTTGAGAAATACTGGTCATGTTCTCTTTTGGTTTTCTAACTGCAGGTCTTTGCATATTTCATCATAATACTTTTACCTTGTTTTCTCAAGCTGCTCTTTGAAATCTTCTGTTTAACTCTTTTACTTCATCATTTCTCCCATTCACTTTAACTACACTGCCTTCAAAAAGCAAGTTTCAGAGTCTCTTCTGACATCCATTTTGGTTGTTTTCTTTTTTATTCTTTTTAATGACCTTTCAGTTTCTTCAGGTATGATGTCCTTGATGTCTTCCCACAACTTTTAAGCAAGAATCCAAAAGAACAGCATAAGGGCTGACTTTAAATTTTAGACACTAAGGAATGAAGTATTCCTAGTGAGCAAAGATGGGGAGTCCACAACATTTTATCGTCAAAGATATTTTTAAACACTAGCTAATCCTACCAAACTTCCAAAATAAATATCTGTGTCCAAATCATTCTTTAATATATGTATAAAAGCATATAAATTCCATAGCAATTTTTTGTTTTACCAGTAAAATTTGGAGGTGTGTATGAGAAAAGTAGACAAAGCATTTTCTTCCCAGTATGAAAATAAACTTTTAGAAACAGTATTCATTTGTATAATTTCAAAAGGCACACTTCTGTTCATTCATTTTAAAAAATATTTATTGAAGTCTGGCAAAGTGCCAGGCACTGTAGAAACATAATATATTAAGCTATATCTGGTACATTAAATAAGTATTTATGTTAGAGATAGCTGACTAAAGTTAGTGGATTATTAGTGTAGTCACAATCTATTTAGTTTTATATTATAAAGTAATGTATGATATTTCAGAGTATCTCCTCAACTTACTTTACAAGCCCTGAGGGAGAGTCTTGGTGAGTTCCTTGGTGAAGATGCTGTTGCAGAAAAATTTTTATTTCTGAAATGTATAGGAAATAATCTAGCTGTGGTAAGTTTTCTTATTTTTTATTTCCTTCTACTTAAAGAAAAGCATACTTTAACAAATTATGCTTCTTAAATGCCTATATAAGATACATAATCTCAGTCAAAACTGATGAAATGGAAATATCACTAAGCACATAGATCATCAAAAAAAGATGGTTTGATTGGAATATTATCAGGTACTAAACTGATAGGGGGCTTATTTTACCTGTGAATTTCTTTAGGAAGAAAAGGAAGACAAATTTAAAATGTGATTGTATAAATAATATATATATATATTATATATATATTCTTAAGGATTTTTAAATAAGTACTTGTGTTCTAGAGAAGATGGATTCTCATTTCTTGGACTACAACTAACCAAGTTTGTTGTGAAAACGATAGTGCTCCAACATATTTTTTGGTATCAGCTATAATCTATTGATCACTACCATTTGTAGTTTCTGTGAGTTAGTGGACAATGTTCTGTTGTTATCCATAAGGTTTTCATTAGATGATTTTCAGAAATACATTGCTAGGCCTTTTTTTCTGGTCTTAGTCTAAAAGCTCCGCTGAAACCTATCCAACATGAGTGATCTTGCTGCTATTTGAAGTACCAGTGATAACAGCTTTCAGCATCATAGCAACACACAAGCCACAAGAGGCCTACAAATTGGCATCATAATAAATGAAGACGACATTTAAGTTGTCAATAATTTCATTCTACTTGGATCAACAATCAATATCCATGGAAGCAACAGTCAAGAAATCAAATGACATATTGTAAAAGTTGGGCAAATTTGCTGTAAAAGACTTCTTTAAAGTTTTTAAAATGGCAGAGATGGCACTTCAGTGACTAAGGGGCACGTGACCCAATCCATGGTGTTTTCAGTTCATATGCATGTGAAAGCTGGTCAGTGAAAAAGGAAGACAGAATAACTGATACATTCAAATAGTGATGTTGGCAAAGAATATTGAATATAACATGAGCTCCCAAAAAATAAACAAATCAATCTTATAAGAAATATAACCAGAATATTTCTCTGGAATAAAAATGGCAAGACTTTGACTCACTTACTTTGGACACATCATCACGAAAGGCCAATCACTAGAAAACGATACCATGTTTGGCAAAGTAGGGGGTCATCGAAAATCAGGGAAACCTTCAATGAGATAGACTGACACAATAGCCATAACAATGGACTCAAACATACCAATGACCCTGAAGATAGTGCAGGACTGGGCAACATTTTGTTCTGTTGTATGTTAGGTTGCCATATTTGGGAGCCTACACAACAACAACGAATAACAACAATATGATTTAGTGGCAAGTTTTCTAATAGAAAGTATTCCTAGCTAGAATTCCGAATCCAATAAGCCATCACATCTCAAAGTTCTTTGTTTCTCATGTCTGTAAGGTTTATTTTTTTTTTAATTAAGATTTTCCACATTTAAACTCTTTAAAATGCATATATTCCTATTATACTCTAATTAACATATTATATCATTATTATGTATTTATTTATGTGACGATTTCTTTAATATATAACTCTACCACTAGATTGTAGCTCCTTGTGGCCACGTACTGTATTTTATTCACCATAGTATTTATAAACAGTGCCTAACAAGATGCTTTGCACCTACAGCATTCAAATGTTAATTGTACAAATTAAATTATGAGTGATAATGGAAAATATAAGTAGTTTCCCCTAAAGTATTACTCTACAGGAATTTGCTATGTTGGATTCTTGGAAAAATTTGAAGAGTGTTTATCATTAGGGATTCTATTTAGTATGCTGAAATATTAATTTATTAATCATTAAGTTAGTTTTCCTCAAATGGAGAGGAAAAGGAACAACTCTCCTAACTTTTTGTTCTTTTTTGTGATATGCAGATTTAAAAAATATCAATCACAGTATCCTAGGTTGGAAGAGACCTTAAAGGTCAACTTCTAAACCTTGTAATATTTTATTATTTTCAACAAATATTAATTGATATTTTTCTATATGTAAAACTAGAAAAAAATTGGACATGGATACTGCCCTAAAAAAATGTTCAGTGTAGTAGTGAAGAAAAAATATATAAATTAATAATTTAAATAGTATGTTTTGGAAATTCAGAGGAAAAAGATTACTTTCATTAAAAGAGGAGAGGGATGGAGAATTCTGAGGAAGAAGCAATATTTAGTTTGCATCTTGAAAGATGAATATTTGGTCTTGCAAAGATGAAAGATGGGAACAGCTTTCTGTGCAGAAAAAATAGAATGAGCACATAAGTAGGAAGTCAAACAACTGAGAAAGAGTAAGTGGTTCATTTTTTACTAGAGCATGGACTATGTGAAAAGGAATAGTGGGAAACAAATTGGAAAATAGTTTGTTGACTCTTGAAAGCCAGATTGATGAGTTTGGATATTTTTCTGAGACCTCGGACTTTTTGAGCAAGAGAGTGACATGATAGCCTTCAGTATAAATTGGGCCTTGTCAAGAGGGATGGACTGATGTAGGAAGAGAATCGAGACAGATATTTCAGTTAGGACACTTTTGAGGAGGTTCATTCAGGTAAGAGACAAGGAGGACCTAAGGAATAGGCTGCCTCTCAGATTACATCTACTACCATTTTCCGCTAGGCTCTAAACTTCAGCCATAAATATCTTCCTTTGATTCTCAAATACGACAAGCTCATTTCTGACTGATGGTCTTTGCGCTTGCCCGGACCTCATTTCCACCTGATTTTCAGATGGCTCACTTCTTTTTGTAATTCAGTTTTCAAGTATTATCTTCAAAAAAGCTTTCCCTGATCACCTAATTTTTAGATATTCTTTCTCCCCTTCATTTTCTGTTATACCACTTTTTTTTATTTTTCCAAAGTATTTATCATAACCCTAAATCATCATGTTTACTTACTTATTTAACATCTATTTTCCCAAATGGAATGTAAGCTCCATGAGAGTAGGGACTTTGTCTTGTTTATTACTATATCCCCATCACGTGGAACGCTGCCTAACACATAGTGTGCATAAATAAATAAATAAATGCTTAGGTAACTCTGTGGATTGAATTTATAGGCAATAAAGTTTACAAGGTTGGCCTCTGGAGCCAGATTACCTGGTTCTGAGTCCCCACTTGGACCTAGTTATAAAATCTTCAACAAGTTACTTAACTCCTCTGTGCCTCAATTTCTTTGCCTGGTAAATTACAGATAATAATACTGCCTATCACATGGAGTTGTGAGAATTAAAGCATTTAGCACAGTGCCTGGTACATAGTAAATCCATGCAAATGATAACTATAATTATTATTATTAAATGACAAAGAATTTCTATTATATTTGATATTGTGAGTAGAAATAAGATTATATTCTACATTTTCTAGAATGTAATCTTAGTTACTATCTTTTAAATTTGATTTATATGTAGCCCAGGTATATGTGTTCTGCAAAACAAGTGAAGGTAAAAATATTAAAAAATGTTACAAAAGCTTTTATTTTTTATCATTTATTTTTAGGTGAAGGCAAAGCAAGAATCAGAACTGAAACTCAAATCATTTGCTCCTCCATATGTATGTAATGTAATGTGACATTTTAAACTTATACTAATTATTTTTAACTTAGTCTCTTTTTTTAAGTTACAAAACTAAGTTTTTAAATTTTCTCTCTGTTTTAGGCTCTTCAACCGGAATTGTATTTGCTTCCAATAATGGACCACTTAGGAAATATTTATTCAGCCTCATCAACAGTTGCATTAGATGGGCAGCAGACTAATAATGGTGTTACTCAGGCAGATGGAACAGTCCACAGACCAGTCAGTGTGACTCTGTCAAAGGAAAAACCTGGAACAGATCCCAGTTTATTAGAAAACACTTTGAAAGAGCTTCTTAACAAGAATCAGGAAGAAGGTGATTTCAACTGGATTGGGAAAGAAAGAGGTTATTATAGTTCATTTTAGCAGTAAGATCCCTTAACAAATTCTGGGAAAACCTAGCCTTGCTAACATAGGCAGTATAAAAGGAAAAGCTACAATCTAATTTGGAAATTGTTGTCATTGTTTTCACCTGATGGGAGAGAAAACACAAATTTAAGTACTAAGTTAAAATTTAAAAAAAAGAATAAAAATAGTTGCAGCCTTTAAACTCTACCACCTTTATTTATTTTATAATAAAATCGATTCAGATACTTAAGGGAAAAAAAAAGAAGACGACTAAAGGGGAAGAGAAAGGAAGTGATTTACTGCATAAAATCCTGGTATTGTTCAGAGGCGAAAAGGATTTTATCTAGGAAAACAGTGCCAAACCAAGGCATAAATAACTGTAATGTAACCTCACTAGGGGACATGTTTTTCAAAGAATTTTTTAAAATTTTTATCTGATCACACCCATCGCCTTACTGATAGATTCTTGAAAAAATGGTAGGTAATTTTAAAATGCTTAAATTAAAAATAAACATAAATATTTAAATAAAGCTGGTATCACATTCTATTAAGGGATTTAAAAAAAATCAGTTGAACTTTTTAACCATATCACATACTGAAATAAATTCTTTGTGAGAGAAAAATGGATATACTAAACATTTATAAATGAAATAAACCCCTCCCAAACTGATGATAACACCCATTATAGCCACAGAATACACTAGTTCATAACCCATTACATTTTTTTCAATTTGAAATTATAGCAATTCTTGTATTCTAAATTTATGCTATACCCAGTGATGTTCCAAACTTAATACTTTCATTAATTTTAGGCATATTTAATACTTCCTGTTCTGATGTGCTTTCAGTAAGGTGAGACGTGGATGAGATTTATGTGTTTCATTTCTTAACACCCATCGGTGAGACTCTTTGCCTCCTTCTTTATCTGGAGATCTGGAGGTGTCTGTGTAGTGGTAAATATTGCTTCCCAGTCAGGATATCACTTAAGGGCTAAAGAAAAAACAAAACAAACAAAACAAAAAATCCTGGGAAACACAACAATTCACAGAGTGGGATTCCAGTATTCCTGAGCAGTCCAGGGTCAAGTGTTTAATGGAGTGGGCAATGGTCCTGTATAAAACTGTGAGTAGCAATGTTATACTTCACACCCTGGGCTACTAACAAAATTCCTGAATGTTACTACCTGCACAAAACCAAAAAAAAAAAAAAAAAAACAACTTGAGAGGGAGTTTTTAATTCTATGAATTTAATGCAAGTATAGTTTTTAAACACTATTAATTTCTTGGTGCTTTACTCAAAAAGAGCCCTGGTGGCACAGTGGTTAAGAGCTTGGCTGCTAACCAAGAGGTTAGCAGTTCAAATCCACCAGCCACTCCTTGGAAACCCTATGGGGCGGTTGCACTCCATCCTACAGGGTCGCTATGAGGGGAAATATACTCGATGGCAATGGGTTTGGTTTTTTGGTTACTCAAAAAAAAAAAAAAAAAAAGCTGTTCTTTAAATGAAAGGCCAGTGTATGCTCATTTTAAAACGTTCTAGAAAAATCAGTAAGTGTAAAGAAGAAAAAAAAGCATTAACTATAATCTCATCACCCAAAAATAGATTGTTAGTTTTTTGGTGTATATTCTTTCAGTTTCTTTTTCAGATCTTGTAGCTGACATTTTTTTTTTCCAAAAATGAGGACACATATGAAGTCTTCTAAGGCCTCTTCTTTTATTTTAGAATATATCATAGATATTTCATATCAATGAATATATATCCAGATAATTATAGAATTCCCTGGTGTCTTAATTTATTTACGCAAACCTGTATTAATGTTATGGCTACTATGAGTAGTGCTGTGGTGCACATTTTTAAAAAATACAGATTCCTGTGTTTATCCTATTATTATTATTTTTTAGAAGTTTAATTGCTGCCTCCCAGGTAATGCAATTTTTTGTTGTTCTTCTTAGAAGACTGTTGTGCCTCTCTCTGGTCACATCCTCTTCTTTTCCCAATAACTACTAGTTTGATGTTTTAGATAATTGTTTTCTTGCTATTCTTTATAGTTTTATAACCCATTTTTATCCCTGAAAAACTTCAATTTCTTCATATTTGGCATTAGTGTTTCTGTGTAAATTTGAATAATAATTGTATTAACTGGTCTTCCCTGTAGGTGTATGGATATTATCCTATCACTGACAGCATTGTACTTCAGAATAGATCTTGAAATGTTCTTTTTGATGATGAATGCAATGCCATTCCTCTTCAATTTGTCATTCCCAGCATAGTAGGCATATAATTGTCCGATTCAAAATGGCCAATACCAGTCCATTTCAGCTCACTAATGCCTAGGATATTGATCTTTATGCAGTCTATTTAATTTCTAATGACTTCCAATTTTCTTAGATTCATACTTCATGCATTTCATGTTCTGATTATTAATGGATGTTTTCAGCTCTAGAGTAGTGGTCAGCAAACTCTCATTATTACTTTTTAATAGCTGAAGAAATATTACATTTTTTAAATTGTACTTTAGATGAAGAACAAACTAGCTTCCCATTAAACAGTTAGTACACATATTGTTTTGTGACGTTGGTTGCCAATCGCATAACATGTCAACACTCCCCTTCTCCACCTTGGGTTCCCTATTACCAGCTTTCCTTTTCCCTCCGGCCTTCTCATCCTTGCCCCAGGGCTGGTGTACTTATTTAATCTCCTTTTGTTTTATGGGCCTGTCTAATCTTTGGCTGAAGGGTGAACCTCAGGAGTAACTTCATTACTGAGCTAAAAGGGTGTCCAAGGGCCATACTCTTGGGGTTTTTCCAGTCTCTGCCAGGCCAGTAAGTCTGGTCGTTTTTCTTTTCTTTTTTTTTATTTTATTTTATTGTACTTCAGGTGAAGGCTTACAGAACAAATA